AAAGAAAGAAAGAAAGAAAGAAAGAAAGAAAGAAAGAATATCCTTTGCTCCTTGAGCAAAGACAATGCAAGGGCTCTATTTTTTTCTCACACTTTTCCCCAGCAGTTCCCAGTTCCCCAGTTCTCCAGCTCCCAGCAAGATATACCTATCCTCGCCTCAAAACAACATTTTCAATTTCCTTTGCTAACCAACTTCAGATACTTATGTTACTGAGGCAAGTTTGAAATGACCTGGTCCCTGCTGGGATCTGTACAAAGTATGTTGGTGGTGAGCTGTAGAAGTGAGCATGTACTTCTTCCAAAATATTTCTATGTGATGATTTGTGAATCAGCCTCCCCACTTTATTTCATCAGAACCTTTTTCTTTCATCACAATGAGCTGTAAACCTATTTAGCTCTCATTCCAGTACAATTCTCTGCTTTTCCAGTACCACCATGGAGAATACCCAACTATTAACATTCTTTCACAGTCTCTTTTACGCTGGGCTCTGCTTACATACGGTTCCTATAATTTACTTATTTACATGCCTAGATCTTACCTAGGTAAGATGTGGAATAAATTCATTCACTTGAAAAGCAGGTTTTGCATGCATACATTGTTAATTGTCGAAGTCACGATCCAGGATATTCATTTTGCTGATATGCCCTCTCCTCTCTCTGTATGCATTTGTTGGACATAACATTTTATTTTACTCCATTAAAGGGGTAATGAAAAAGCTGACTTTTGCACCCTTTTGATTCACTGTCTTTTGAAGACAAGATCAGCTTATCTACATTAACAGTAAAACCCCTTTCTCAGACTCCCAATTCTTCAACAAAACTTACCAGAGGGTATATCTCAACTGCATAAATTAAGTAGATGATCAAGAAATACAGAAAACTCAGTTTGCTGCCACCTAGTGTGCTATAAATCAACTAGCTGATAAGAAAATAATCCCTGGATTTGGGGGGAGAGGGGCAGGGAGAAGAAATAGGTGGATGTACTTGAGAACACTCCACAGTTTAATCTGCCCCCCTCACACACAAACCCCAAGACCACATCCATGGATTGCACTTGAAGTCTGAATCCACGCAACCACTATGTTTCAGTCAAGAGAAACCAGCTGTTTGCTACCATCTAGCGGTCATTAAATTGATAAGTGAACAGTTCCCTGGAAGGGAGGAGAGGAAATATAATAATCTGATTGAATATTCCAGCCATACAAGGACTAACTCTGGCACCCATTTTGTATGAGTGATGGAAGCTTTTCCCACAGTGGGTACATTTGTATTACAATTGGGGATATACTACTCACTTCAGTAGTGGGTAATGCAGGCTTGTCTGGACAGCAGCATAGCAGAATCCCAGTTTGGATGCACAGGAAGGGTGCACTGTAGGAGTCAAAATGTTTAGGGCAATACAAGTTCCTCTCAGTTCCAGGACAAGAAGAAAGCTGAGCAAAAGCAGCTATCTGGATTAGCTCAAAATCTCCAGCTTAAATGTAGCTTGTCTCAGTTCTTCTATTCTTGAAATAAATGTATTTGTTATCATGTTTGAAGATGAAATAAAATGATGTATCGATATTTCCTGAATTTTCTCCAGAACAATCAACAAATATAAGAATTTTGCCCAAGATGTTCTATGTATGACATCACTACAGTTGATAGGGACCAACCGTGCTCCCTGTTTTCCTATCCATGCAAATACAAATAAATCAGAGTGGCACACTAACAAAACAGATTAAAACAACAAAAGATGTCTAGCAGGGTTGCATATTGGCTCCTTTCCTCTTTAACTTTTATATAAACAACATTGTAGAACAGCTTAGTAATGCAGAGGTTGACAGTGCTGTAAATTGTATGGGGGATGAAGTGAGCTGATAAAGTTGGTTATAATTTTATATGGATTTTTGCTAAAACCTTTGGTTACAAATAATTGTACTACCTGACTTTGGTGGAGTGCAAAGTGAAATGAAGGTTTTGTGATCTTTAATAGGTGCGTATGAAAGCAATGAACAAGATCAAAGTGAGACTTAACTGAAGAACCAAAAAAATAAGCATGAAAAAATCTAGTTCTGAATCAACCACCGAGTCATCTGAAGGAGTCACAGAAAATAATTTGTAACCTGTACATGTTTTGTGCAGTTCAATGGGCTGTCAGAATGAATTAATCTCCTATTATGTTGATAAGTCACCAGTCCTGGGAGTGAGAGGGAAGGAAGGAAGGAAGGAAGGAAGGAAGGAAAGGAGGGAGGGAGGGAGGGAGGGAACTTCTTACACATAATATGGGCAGTTTTCAATTCTAATGCATCATTAAAATAATGTACTGTCAGCACTAGAGCATTCATACAATATTAAGCCAGTTGTACAGAGTGAGTATAAGAATGAAAAGCTGATAGATCTGGAGACATCCCCCAAAAGATCTCATAATGTTAGGAGATATAGAATTACCACCAAGATAAAGGGTTCTTCTTTTAGTTCTGGTTGGTTCCAGTCAGTGTGGATTGGGAAAGAGGCCCCATGGCACCTCTTAGGTGTACAGTCTAACTAAGCTCATGACTGAATAATAGGCTATAAACTTCATCTGTAATGAATAGCATATTTGGGCTGTTTGTCCAAAGCTTCTCATCATGGTAAAAAACATTATAGGAAAGATGAATTCTTATGCCAGCCAGGGTAATTTATTAACAGTTCTTTCTTGCATTTGAAAGAAACATAGATAAGGATGGCAGAAACTGAACCAAAAGTAGACAGAGTTTTATTCACTGTCTCTTCCCCATATCACAGACACAATGAATGTGTGGAGGCATGACATTTGGAAAATGAGTACAAAGGCTGTATTTGGAAAAATGGCTAAGGTTGAAGGCGCATAACCATTCTGCGACATAAGTTTCTCACTGCCTCATTTAGAGAAAAGATAGTAACCTTTGCACACGGCATCCCCAAAGTGCAACTTCATGACGCAACTCCATGAAGCACTCTTAGGAATAGGGTTGGCTCATTCTGCTCCTTCTTATATATGCTTTGGCAAACAAAGAGCAAATTCAGACTTATGAATACGCTTCTCCTCTAAAAGAATTGATCGCAGGCAGAGGTGAGCAATTTTATAAATCCCATTCAATACAGATTTAAAGTACTATAAAAAGTTAGATTTCTAGATTATATTTCTAAAATGAATGATGGAAACTGTATATCAATGGAGTAGTATTAACATAGAGATTGGAAATATAATTAACATATAAACATTTCTATATGTTTTTAAGATGATGATGATGATGATGATGATGATGATGATGATGATTTTTTTTTCTGGTAAAACAGAAGACTTCTCCATGCACAGAAGTTGCCTATCTTCTTAAGGGTAGGGTGGATGTCTGAAATTTTTGGTAAAGCAGAGATTCATGCCAGTCATCAAAGTGATTTACATTCCATTCCATTTATGGTTAATTTTCTCTATGTTCAACAGGGTTACTCTCATGCAATTCTGCAAAGAATTGCTACCTCATTAATCTGAGAAATTTGTACATGGATTATATAGGATATTTTTATACAGTGCACAAAAGGAGAATGTACATATGTGGAACATCAAGACCTCTGAAAATGCCCCACTTCATTGCTTCTTTGTCATATAACTTTGTCAGTTTTTTTTTCCCCCTGAATAGAGAAAATTGATTTTGACATTTTTCATTCAGAGGTTTTCAGTACTGTTCATCAATATTAAATCATACTTTTTTTTTTAATCAGAAAAATTGTCCAGGAGGTTTGATGCTTCAGTACTTTTCCAGTACTTGAATGGATGGTGGAAGATGGATGGATGGATGGAGTGAGTGAATGAGTCAAGGCATCTTAATCCATCACTGTAGAAAGGAATTTGGATTTAACTGTGATAAGGAACAAAATAATTTTATCTTTTGTCATCAGCATATATAATCACTTATTCTGCATAACCTTCCCTTTTAGATGCCTACGTCACTGTTATATTAGGAGTAGTACCATGAGAAAATGACTTTTTTTTTTTTGGAAAATGCAAAATAACATAATCCTAAGAGGTATTCTGATACTAGCAGAAAGTTCAGATATTGGTGAAAGTGTGGAAGAACTTCTAGAAAGGACAAGAAAACAAAATGAAATCATGCCTCAAACATTATTAATGTTCACAGATTCCAAAATACTGTTGTCATTTTAGGATATTTTTAGTTATATAGAACAATATTGTTGTAAACAAATATGTATCCAACACTGACTGGCTATACTTTAATCCATTATTTATGGAAGAATTGTAATAAGTGTGATGGGAAACCAATCCACTGTGACCAAATTCTTTTTTAGCTGAAACATAGGTAGGTAGGTAGATAGATAAGTATGTTCCATAGGTAACCCAAAACATAATATAGATGCTGGTGATTTTAGGATAATAAATCCAAGGTGGTAACATTTAGAATGGATAATAGTGTTGATTATAAAAAGGTTACGTCTGTCTGTCTGTCTGTCTGTCTATATCTATCTGACACAAAACCTTCCCTGTAATAAATAATTGACCATTATGTAATCTCTTCCTTGCAGAGCTGTTGAAATAAATGAAATGGGCAATCATTCCATTGTGACAGAATTTCTTCTAATGGGATTTTCAGATGACTATGATATGCAAGCTTTACATTTTGTGATATTTCTCTCTGTTTATTTAATGGCTGTAGTGGGAAATATTTTGATCATCATAGCTGTGGCACTAGACCATCATCTTCATAGTCCCATGTATTTCTTTCTGGCCAACCTTTCGTTTTTGGATGTTTGCTACATCTCTACTACAGTTCCTAAATCCATAGCTGTTTCAATAACAAAAAACAATGTGATTTCTTTTGAGTTCCTAAATCCATAGCTGTTTCAATAACAAAAAACAATGTGATTTCTTTTGAGTTCCTAAATCCATAGCTGTTTCAATAACAAAAAACAATGTGATTTCTTTTGAGTTCCTAAATCCATAGCTGTTTCAATAACAAAAAACAATGTGATTTCTTTTGCCGGATGTGTTGTGCAGGTCTTCTTAGTTGTCACATTTGTTGGAGGTGAACTTTTTTTGCTCACCATCATGGCCTATGACCGATATGTAGCCATCTGCCACCCTCTGCAATACAATATGATCATGAACTGGAGTGCCTGCATTCAGATGGCAGCTGCGGCCTGGATAAGCACCCTGATCCATGCAATGCTAGAAACTAGTCTGACTTTCAGGGTGACCTTTTGTGGATCCAATAAGATTGGACAATATTTCTGTGATATGCCTCTATTACAAAAGATTTCTTGCTCCGATACAAAAGTTCATCAAATTATCACTATGGTCATTGCGGTCAATGGAAGCACATTTTGCATTGGACTCCTGCTTGTTTCTTACGGATATATCTTTTCTGCAGTGCTGAAGATTCCATCAGTTCAAGCAAGATACAAAGTTTTCTCAACCTGCACTCCTCATCTGACTGTGTTTTCCTTATTTATGACCACGGTTATATTCTCATATATGATTCCAAAAACACTTTCAACTCCCATTGTGGATTTGGTTTCTGCCTGTCTGTATACCGTTTTGCCACCCGTTCTAAATCCCATCATTTATTGTTTAAGAAATAAAGATGTACAAAAATCTTCTTGGAGAATAGCCTCCACATTAAAGCAACTTCTAGGATAATTGCAAAATTTCTTATAATTATCATTTAAGGAGCTTGTGGAGGTATCGTCAGGCAAAATACACTTTCTCTGGAAAATTATTAGCTGACACTTTCCCTCAAGTTACTAATATTTGAGATTGAAAATTAACCTCTTTTTACTTTCAGGATGAACTTTTTGGGACCCAATAAGATTTCTGTAACATAGCCAGAAATGGTGCAAGTTCACAAAGTTGTGATGGTAGGGCCCTGTGAATTTATTTTGATTTGCTTTCTTCTTGACATGTTATGGCTACATTTTCTCTACTGTAGTGAAGATTCTCTTAGCTGAAATAACATAGAAAGCGTTCTCCACTTGCAGCCTATGCCTGACAGACTTTTCCTTGCTTATTATTCCACAGTAGTTTTATAATTGAGACAAAAAAAATTTAAAAATCCTACTAAATTACAGCATGGACATTCTTTCTGTAGTTTTGCTACCATGTTTGAATTACATCATTAACAGCTTGAGGAATAAGGATATTTGGAAAATATTCCCCACATTAAAGGATTTCGGAGGATGATTCTTAGAACAGTCATTAAAGGAAACCTTAATTATATAGCTCTGTTGGTCTCAAGAAATCAATTTATATGCTTTCTATATTTAAATAGATGAATACATCTCAATGCTTTCTCAGATTTATTGGCATCTGAGATATATTTTACCTCCCCAGTAATGAATTACCATTTTGGCTGACAAACATATAGCACCATTCAGCATCTTTACCAGGTAACAAAATCACTGATTCAAATAACAGAATCAGGGGGACACCCCATAGTATTTCCCAATCTTCCTCCTTTCTAACCCACTATAGACAGCAGTTGTCTCAGTCCCTCGTAGCTTCCCAGGACAAAGACTTAGTGAAAGGAAAGTTTCATAGCTACTAACAATTCGAGTCTGGTGTAGTAGTTAAGGCACCAGGATAGAAACCAGGAGTCTATGAGTTCTAGTCCTGTCTTAGGCACAAAGCCAGCTGGGTGGCCTTGGGCCAGTCACTCTCTCTCAGCTCTAGGAAGGAGGCAAGGACAAACCACCTATGGAAAACCTTCCCAAGAAAATTGCAGGGACTGGTCCAGGCAGTCACCAGGAGTCAAAACACACACACACATATACACACACAGAGTGAGAAAAGTTTATTTTAAAATATAATCTTAGAACACTTATTCCTTTAAATGCAGCTTTGTTCTTTGATTAGGCTATCAGAGAAGGTTGATCAGAGAAGGTTGAAAACCTATAACTAATGTTACTTATCTACAACCCCAGTCACTCTGGGACGGCTAGGAATTTTAGTTCAACAGATCTATGTCATCAAAAATTCTCTGTCCCTAATCTACATTAGCCTTAAGCTTCCAAACATACAGAGAAGTGTTTGTAACTGTGGAAAGTAAAAAAAAAAAAAAAATGTTACTGGTTATGTTTTCCTTTCCTTTCCTTTCCTTTCCTTTCCTTTCCTTTCCTTTCCTTTCCTTTCCTTTCTCTTTCTCTTTCTCTTTTTCTTTTTCTTTTTTTTTACTTTTTTCAACCAGCTTTACTAAGAAATTGGATGGTACAAAAAGTACTGAATGTCTTTTAAGAAGAGCTGTTGAAAAAACAAGTAATGTTTTAAGAAAGAGAAGAATAGAAAGGATAGAACTTTCCAATTCTTCAGTTTGGAAATAGTTGAAGATTTGTAAATTTAAGGGCAATAGCTAAGGGATTTTTCAAAAATATTATTTTATTTATGCATACAGAAAGAACTGTAGATGAATATTTTAAATAAAGGATACAGAGATTTATTTCCATGAATCTTTTATCTATATTAGATATTCCTCCTTATTCAGCTCAGGTCATACCACAATGTATAATTTAGGTAGAGGTGCAGCCTATTATTCCAGCACTTGAAGCTGAGATGGAGAAAATATCTACAGTAATCATGTATATTCTAGTAGGTTGGAACAAAGCATAAACATAGCAAAATGTCAAAAAAATTGAAAGTAATATAATTGCTTGCACAGGGGAACAAGGAAGGACAATATAATTAAACAATTTTTCTTTTGTCCACTACCTCATTATGGATCCTGGTTTGGTAGCCATGAATGCTAGGATCACCATGATAATTTCTGTCACCAATGAAACAGGAAACAATAATGAGGGAGATGATGTCAAAGGCAATCTGTCGGAGAACATAACATAGAGAAGAAGCAGAGGAGGTTGGAAATGAGAATGTAAGGGTGATCCTGGTTATTACCTATTATAATAAGAGTGTTCTGTTTCATGCATGCTCCCAGAACTAAAACAGTGATCAAAGAAAAGGGACTAGTAAAGAGAGCTAAACTGATCCCTAAAGGTTCGTCATGAAAACATGAACCTTGGCAATACATGAATCCTACTTGGATCTCTACTTGCGTAGTTTTGACTTGAAAATTCATGAGTCATTTTTAAATGTCATGTACTGGATTTTTTGGAATCCTAGAATTTGATAGTAGGTAATTTTACTGAGACACTGCCTCTTTCAATTGAAGTAGCAGATTGAACTGTACAGTTGCCTTGGCTGTTGGCTCCTGAAAAGCCTTTTCTAACCTACCAAGCTGATAGATCCTCTTGGTATACTGAGGAACTGCAGTAAACAAAAGAAGTTGGTAGAAAAGTAGAGCACAGGTAGCAGAAACCTTAAAGCTCATATGTTCAAGCACGGCTTAGGGCCTGTTGGGGCATTCCATTGATCTGTTTCATTGGTCAGCCTTTGAATGGCTTTTCCATGAACAAGGAAAAGGACATTTGAGTGGTTTGGTCAAATAAGTTGTAATTTCATTGCTGTTTGTTACATTTTTCAGGCTTTATTTATTTATTTATGCTATTTAAATGGCTGCCCAACTCACTCATGGAGACAGGTGGCTTACAGGAATATTTTACTTTCTTCTCTTTAATTTTAATATTATATTGCTTGGTAAACTCAATGCAAACTTTCACATACAGGCTTTTTTCCAGTTCATTATTTTGATGTAAAATATTTGAAAAAATAAGATACCCATTTACCTTGAAAGAGTTTAAACCTCAAGACATTGTGCGTTACATCTAAGAGAACTAAAGAAGATTGTTATTGGTTTAGTAAAACCAAAGCATTTTTAAAAAGTATGCTGTGACACACTGGATAACATGACTGAAATGCAGTGTAGGTGGCATGACAATTAAGTGAATCTATAGATATAAATTCAGAGGGTTCATCATTGGTTGCTCACCAAATTGGAAAGTGCAGTCAAGTAACACAAGAATACATCCTTAGGTCCTCTACTTGTGGATGCTTTTATTAATGACTGAATGAAGAGGCAAAGGTAGTGCTTATTAAATTATCCAATGACACAGTATTATATGGGATATCCAGTAGTCAGTAAGATCAGAAATTAAGTTCAACATTATATTCACTGATAGGAGAAATGAGTTTAAAGTAACAAAATGAAATTTAAAAGAAAGAGGTCCAAAATTCATCAATTAGGAAACAAAATTCAATTGTAAAGTTATACGATGGGGGTATAATAACTGAGTGCAAACCGAATATGAATCTATAGCATGACTAGCAACAAAAAAACACAAATGCAATTTAGGCAGTGTAAAGATAGCATAATTTCCAAGTCATGGAAGTTTCCATGACATTTTCTAAATCACGTTATCCTGCTTTGGTCAGATCCTATTTTAAGGATTTTATCCTGTTCTGGACATTGCACTTTAAGATTTAGAGGGATTGGAACAGGTTTGGAGAAAGTCAATTAAGATGATTGAGAATTAGAAATTAAATCCTATAAGGAAAGATGGAAGTGGCTTCCATCTTGAGAAAAGACAGCTGAAGGGTGATATGAGAGTACTCTTCAGATTCCTGAAAAGATGTCAGATAAAAAAGTCAAGGCATGTTTGCTCTCATTGTAGAGTGCAGGACATGGAATAATGGATTTAAGTTAAAAGAAAGCAGAATTGTATTGAATATTGAATTTCATGTGTGCACACACACACATACATTACACAAATATATACATGCTATCAGTAAGAGTAGTTGCATATTGGGACCAATTAGAGAAGAGATCAAGGCTATACAGTCATCAGTCTGGGATGCTTAAATTTCTTACTCTAAGCTAGGGTTTGGACATTGGATTAGATCACCTAATCACAAATTTGAATCTAAAACAAGTTTGACCCAAGATGACTTTCTGATACATTATGAAGATTTCTCAGCAACAATGCAGAAGATGTATTGTCGAAGGCTTTCACGGCCGGCATACGATGGCTGGTGTGGGTCTTCCGGGCTGTGTGGGCGTGGTCTTGAAGTTTTGTTTCCTAATGTTTCGCCAGCACCTGTGACCGGCATCTTCAGAGTGCAGGAGCTTTCAAGATGCAGGAGCGGCATCTTCAGAGTGCAGGAGC